AGAGCTTTTGAGCCAGCATTTTCCAGCCAGTGTTTTCCAGTCAACCTTTCTTAGACAGTGTTTTCCAGCCAGCATTTGTGAGCCAGCGTTTTTCAGCCAGTTGACAAGTTAATTTGGGTGGAGAAGGTAATGGCTTGTCCGGTTGTTACCTGTTAAAAGTTGACAGTTTCTTATTTAAAACCTTGTCCATGCATTCAGTTGTATATAAATATATTACCATCGGGATATTTAATGTTAGAGGATTTGTGAAAAAATAAAAGGAAAAGAATTACTGGCTACGGATGTTGATTGTTATAACATTGAAGTTAATAGCTTTGGAAACAGTAAATATTATGGAAATGGTTTTGTCATCAATACGAAATGGAAGAATAACATGTATTGACATTGGAAAAACATCAAAAGAGCTATCAATAAAATTGCATCATTCCTCGTAAAAAGTTTTGAGGAGTTTGGAAGACCGCTGGCACTTTCCTGATTTATTACAAAACATTTCAACAGCACATTGTCATTATCACTGGCCTGATCCATCTTCCTGGTAAATTCCCATTGAGATAAGTCCACACAGTCAACTTAGTTTTTATATATTTCGATAAAATTTTAGATCATTTGAGCGATAATTGGCTGTTATTAGATTACAAAATGATGTCAAATGTTTTTTGGATACACCCTGTCTGCGTAGACGCACACGCACACACAGTGTGCGATGGGTAAATTGTCGCCCTTTTTATATATATATATATATATATATATATAACGTATAATACGACCTTTTCCTTTTCCCCTTTAATTTTTGTTCAAATGTTTTGGAATATGCGTAAGAAAACACGGTACTTCAAGCCGCAGATATACAGAATTCCCCTCAAAATTGGCATCATTTAAAAATTTGAATATCTGAGTAACTACATATCCCAGGCAAATGAAAATAAATAGGCATTATGTTGAACAATAAAAGATTTATTTATCAAAATTCGAACAAGGGATTCACAAGGATGTAGATTTTATAAGCGATTTCACAAAGCTTCACAAATGTTCAATATGCGTACCACATGTGACACGACACACGTCAAGTCGTTTGTCCAGCTCCTGCCAAACACGCTGTAGCATGTCTTGCGTAACATTCTCCAGCGCCGTAGTGATTCTTCGCTTAAGTTCTTCTCGGCTTGTAGGAAGAGGGGGATATAGACCTGTCCTGTCACATAGCCCCACAGAAAAATAACTCACAAGGTGTCATCTCAGGTAAACGTGGTCATTTCAACAGCATATTGTCATTATCGCTGATAGGCCTGATCCAGCTTCCTAGTAGATTCTCATTGAGTCAACTTAGGTTTTTACACATTTCGTTAAAATTTGAGATCATTTGAGCTAGAATTGGCTATGTTATTAGACTACAAAATAATGTCAATTGTTTTTGAGAAACCCTTGTACTGCAACTGTCTTTTGCAAAACTTCTTTCTTTTTTATGCAGAGCTGCATTATTGTTGGCCCTGTGTTAAATTGGTCACATCACATTAACAACTCAATTCTAAAAGCGCAATATAATCAAATGAACATACGAATATCATGCGTATCTATGATTTATAAATCATAGATGCATATGTTATTTGTACGTTCGTTTGCTTATAAGACGATCTGGGAACAAAATGCACAAATATATGAGAATATAGGAATTTCAAACATCTTATATTAGAAATTTTGGAAAGGGTTTTTTTTTTATCTGATATTTCTTATTAATATAAATGTTAACAACTCAATTTTAAAAGCGACAAAATGATGTCATTTTTTTTTTTTTGGTAGCGGGCACCGTGTATTATGGATTTTTTGTTGAGAAATTGAAAAAAAAAAACTTTGTTAGTAAAATGACAGAAAACACCTAATGTTGAATCCAAGACGATTTCCCTGTTCAAGTAAAATTCACTCTTTGAAAAAATGTTCTCTTCTACCCTTAAGAAGTTTCGTACAAGTAGCTTAAAGTGAACTCTTAAAATTTAATTTAATGCTTGCTCTGTGAAAAATTCTAGAGGTACATCGATCAACTTTTGACGCAGATTGATGTCAAGTAATGCTAAGTGGTTGTTGCCAGTTCTGTTGTAACGCACAGTGATCCCTTTAGCAGGCCGACTATTCAATTTTCTGACCTTGAAGAAACTCTATAACGTCCAGATATTTGTACGTCAGCGAGTTTATATGGAAGATAATTTTCCAATTTTGTATTTCTCGCACTTATGTTTATTTGCTTTTTTTGCTTTATTAATTTTTTTGTGTCCCTCGGACGTTCAACGGAACCTTTCTTTCTTTTTTTTTTTCTTCGCTATTCTTTCTGACTTCGATGCTCTTTCGTACTTTCTTTCTTCCTTCTTTCTTATTTTTCTTCTCTGTTCTTTTTAACTTTCTTTGTTTTTTCTCGCTGTCTGTCTTTCTTTCTTCGATATTCTTTCTTTCTTTCTTTCTTTCTTTCTTTCTTTCTTTCTTGTTAGTTCTTTCGCAATTTCTTTCTTTATTCTTTTTTTTCTGTTTTTCTTTATTCATGCTTTCTTTATTCATGCTTTCTTTCTTTCTTTCGCAATTTCTTTCTTTATTCTTTTTTTCTGTTTTTCTTTATTCATGCTTTCTTTCTCCCTGAATTCTTTCTTTCTTTCTTTCTTTGTTTGTTTGTTTGTTTTTACTTTTTTCTGTTTTACCCTCTTCTGTGTGTATGCGGTTGTGTGTTCTTTCTTTCTTTCTTTCTTTCTTTCTTTCTTTCTTTCTTTCTTTTCATTTTTCTTTTCATTTTTCATATTTTTATTTTGCACGATATTTTCAGTTTTATCGGACTACTTTTAATAAATATATATATATATATATATATATATATATATATATATATATATATATATATCACTTACTCTATATGTGTGCGTGTGTGTGCGCGCGCGCATGTTTGCCAAATTGAAATACCTTGGTAGTGGTAGTCAAACATTCGAGAGAGGAACTCTGCCTGAAGTAGTAATTCACATTATCCGAACGGAGATCACTGTCCAACCAAGCCCGAATGTCCAAACGACATTTCTATGAGCGAACATACTCCATTACATTGCATGAAAGGCAAGTTAAAAAAAAAAAAAAAAGGAGAAGAAGAAAACGCAAACTTAGCAATTTTCTCAACTAATATTGAAATAGGAGTGAAACTTCAATAATAAGTCAACATTGTTGCCTTGGCTCATAATTACGTGACTGCCCGGCCGTATTAATCCCCCTCTCCGCGAGGCAATCTGCGACTACAACTGATATACTCTAGTTTTGACTCACAGACACGATATGATAAAAGCAATTTCTTTTTCTCTTTTACCTGATGGCACCGGTGTCTGGATCATGTGTCCAGTTTCTTTCTTTGTTGATTCTTTCATCTCTTATTCTTTCCTTCGCTGTCTTTTCATTCTCTCTCCTCTCCCTTCACCTCTCCGCTCTCCTTTCCTTTAATATTTTACTTTACTCTTTTTTTTTTTTTTAACTCTTTCGTCTTTGACGTTTTTTATTCCTTGTGTTTCTTCACCTTTTTCTCAGTTTCCTCTTCTTCCTTCTCTCGTCTCTTCGTAATCTCTTGCTTTGTAATTTGTCTGTTGCTGCTGCTGCTTTCTTCCTCTCCTCCTCCTTCTTCCCTTTGCACTCTTCTCATTTTTTAACCCCTCTTTCCTTAGAGGTGATTTTTCCTACTCTTCTTTCTGTTGCTCCTCTTTCTCCTTCATCGTATCTTCTATTTTTGACATTTTATACTCTTCTTCTTCTTCTTCTTCTTTTCATTCTTTAGTGCTTCTTCATTCTCTCCCTCCTTCTTGATCCTTTTCTTTGCAATTTGTGTGCTCATCTATCTTCTTCTTCTTTACGAAGTACTGTCACCCAGTGTCGAAACACTCAAGGGTTTACCTACAATTTATTCTGTGCCAATGCGTTGAAATTGTATTTTAAACGTCCACACAAGAACCGACTTTATGTCAGCTGAACCGGAAGTAAACATTTACGCTTTGTGTAATTGGATCTGACAAGCTTTGTGTGAACTGATGGCAAGGGTAAGTGGCGATGACCTTAGCAAATGGAGAAATTTTGATATAGAAAGTTGTGGAGAGCCATGATCGCTGATGTCCTGAAGGGACACGACACATAGGAGTAGAAGCAATTGGGACGAAGAACGACGAATTTATGCTTAGTCAGAATTAATCACCACCCAAGCACATCTAGCTACAGGTTATTTTTTCTGGCGGGGCAAGGGTCGGTTCTTTTATACTGGATTAAATCCGCATCCCGTCATTATATAAGTATCAGAATACTAGTTTAAATGAGGTTCGGCAGAAAACCATTAAAAAAAACTTCAAATGAACGACAGGCACCAGGAAATAACGTCACCTTTCAAGGAGGAGGTGTTTTTAAAGGAAAGGATCATTGGATTTCACTGAAAGAAAACTGCTAACAGAATTTGAAGCTGCTAACAGAATTCTCCCCAGAACTATTACATTGTGGAACAGATTCCCAAGAGGATAATTCCTGATAATTACTACCTTATCCTCTTCAAATCTAGGATCAAGCATTACCTATCGTACATATCCTCATAATATGAACTTCTTGATCCCTCTTTGTACGCTCTTAAAACAGCCTTATTTTGTAACCATATGCTTTGAGTGGCTCTTGGGTTTGTATTGGGTGAACAATAGTTAAAAAAAAACTATCAAGATAAGAAAGATACGTGGGGAAAGAACCATCCGTTGTCTCTGTGATATGGTGGTAAAAATCGTGGACGGAAGTCGATAAGGATGTAGATTATAAAGCACTTGACAGCAACATTCGGCTCTATTGAAATCTTTCTTCCGGATATTGGACACGAAACACAGGAGACGTCATAGACTTACGATTTATTATCAATCGCCTTGTTTCAGTCGACAAAAAACGAAAACGAGGCACTGAATGTTCGCAAAATGATAAGCAATTATCTTTTCATTCTGAACTAATCCAAAGCAAAAAAGGTTGTAAAGCTAAAAAGACCAACGTGTGAGTGTGTGTGTGTGTGTGTGCGAGAGAGAGAGAGAGAGAGAGAGAGAGAGAGAGAGAGAGAAATCTGAAAGAAAACAGAGGAAGAGAAACAGTTTACGGAGGTAGATAAATAGTGGTCAATTATATTTGGTTCTATAAACATTTCCTTGGTTCGAAGATGCGTAAATATTGCTTGTTTATATTGAAATATATGAGGATATATAACAAAAAAAAAAAAACAACCACTAAGTTACAAAAGACAGAAAGTAGTGGAGAGCCATGATCGCACCGGTCCTGAAGGGACATAGCACATAGAAGAAGAAGAAGAAGAAGAAGAAGAAGAAGAAGAAGAAGAGCATTTACCTTTTTTTTTGGATTATAACTCCGCATGCATTCGCTGTTTCTCCGACAAGGCTGGTAAGAAATCGAAGGAAAGAGAGAGAGAGAGAGAGAGAGAGAGAGTAGGAAAAAGGGACAGAGAAATTGAGTCCGTGAGAAGTTGGTGAGAGAGAGAGAGAGAAAGTGAAGAAAGGAAGAGAGAGAGAGACAGACAGACAGACAGAAAAAGACAGAGAGACAGACAGACAGAAAGTGAAGAAAGGAAAGAAGAGAAGAGAGACAGAGAGACAGACAGACAGACAGACAAAGAGAAAGAGTAGGAAAAAGTGACAGAGAAGTTGGTGAGAGAGAGAGAGAGAAAGAAAGTGAAGAAAGGAAGTAAGAAGAAAGAGAGAAAAATAAAGACACGTAGATAGTGGGGAAAGAAAGGAAAGAGAGAAGGATGTAGTGGAGGTAAAGAGAGTTAGGATATAGGAAGTTAAAGAGAGTGGTAAGTTGAGAATATGAGATAAAGAGACTGAGTAAGGAATAGGTGGGGAAAAGGTAGGGAAAGGAAAAAAGTGTAAGAAGTAGAGTGTGTGAGAAGGAAGTAGATAAGAGAGACACAGAGCGTGAGATAATATTGTAAAGGAAAGGCAAAAGAAAAAGAACAAGGTAAGACGAAAGAGAGCGTGAAGGAAGTAAAGAAGTGGGATAGAGAGAGAACAAAAGAGTAATGAAATAGAGAGGGAAATGAAAAAAAAGAAAAAAAGGAAAGAGAGCTAGAAACCAAAGAGAAAAGAAGTTGAGAAAGAGAAGGAAATCGAGATAGAGAAAAGAGGACAGATTGAAGGCAAGAGGGAGAGGGGAAAACAATACATGACCTAACTAGCGAGTTTGAGTAAATGGGTGGCAGAACTGAGTTTAGGAGAGATAAAAAAAAAAGACAAAATTTATTAAGAGTTACAAAGGATAGGAAATTGTGGAGATCCATGATCGCTAACGGCCTAAAGGGACACGGAATATAGAAGAACTAGCAGCATGGCCCGGCGTTGCCCGTGCTTGATTCAAAAATCGTACGACTCATACAGCAATCGCTATCACTTGACTTAAAATATTTTTGCCCTTCCTTGCCTTTAAAGGAGTGCCTGCAAATTTTTTCTAAGCTCTATACTAAACATTAAATCTGTTACGAAAAAAGAACTAAACAAAATGAACACAAAACGATCAGCTTTAAAAAAAGGACTCGTAACTGGAAAAACCGAATGAAAAAAGAATGTTAACAACAAATACTTTTTCACACCCATCCCAGTTCTGCGGAATCAGAATCAACGTTGTATTTAAGCAAGCGAATGAGCCAATTGGAGTAAAGTGCCATGCAGATTTAAATTTTTCCCATTTGTGACGAATGCAGCTATCGATTTTTTTTTTGCATGCTAGCATGCTAGTTAACATTCGTGTCAGTCAGCTATTGGCTCTCACGCTGGCCAATAGAATCTTCCTGCCTATTCGTGGCAGCCAGCTATACCCTCTCACTCTGGCCAGTAAAAAATGGCCTCAAACTACATGAAAACTGCCGTAGAAGCATGAAAAAATCGATTATTTCCATTATCGATGGGATTTTGGAAATGCAAAATCGGTCTTGGTCTTCCCGCTAACTTGGAGCAAGTGCATGTAAATTTTGGTGCATATCCGTCAAAATTTCCCGTGCATGCGTTACACACACACACACACACACACACACACACACACACACACACACACACATCCTGCCTTTTATAGATAGAGATTCCCGTCTTTTTTTTATTTTTATTACCAATTTTATTTATCACTAAAAAAAGTAAGAAATCATGTGTTCAAACCTTATTCATCATTGTCATCAGATCAAGTGTGATCGTAGGGTCGTTGTGTAGCTGAGTACCCGATCAACTTCTTCCATATGTCTCAACAGATATTCATTCAGACGTAACATGTCCTGAGCAAAGTAGACTAGGCGGAGCCCGTCCCTCTCCAGATTGGCCGATGTCCACGGACTAGAAGGCACACACTGACCGTTGGCATCAGTCTCGGATGCCCTCCGCTCAGCGATATCAGTTCCGTTCCGTGTTCAGAATTAGCCTGCAGCCGATCGTAACTCGCTGTAGTTATTGTCTCTCGGCTAAACTCTTTGCTCCTGAGAACCTCAGAGCCATTACATATGGAGTTGCTCGGTACCAAAGGCGGTAACTAAGGGATATTTTTTTTTAAATGTATTTGGACTTTTTTAGCGATAAGTTAAATTTCGTTGGTGGAATGATGGCGCATTTCCCAGCAGCCAGTTGGCTGGGTTTCAGAATAAGTAAAACGCCAAATGACGTTTTTAAATGACGCCAGCCCTCCCCGTTTTTCAAGATTGGTGCAACAGAATCTTCCTACCAGCTTTTTTACTTTAGAAATGTAGTGATCTCATCTTGGAGGCAAGCGTAATTAATGAACTATTTGTTTACCTCTAATTATTGTTTATAAGTAGCTTTAATTATTTTTATTTGCATACTAAATTCGATTATTGGTTTCATATTAAATAATTCTATTTCTTTAAGGTAGGACATTATATTAACAGTTTCACTATTTTCAAATACTTTTCTCGTTTTGTTTTTCTTGTAGTACTTATGAGGGCTAAGTGTGTACATTCAGTTAATAAAAAGAAAAGTGTAATTTGTTAAGTGTAGCTTAGTTTTGTTATAAATTAAATACATTAAAACCTTGGTGTTTTGATCGTTTTAATATATGAATCCCTGATAACGAGCATCACCGAACGGGATTTTTATTTAGAAGATAAAACATCTAGCAAGGATTGAACTGATTTTTGCAAACATCCAGTTCGTTATTACGCTTGTTATTAAAGAAGCTGCGTTTTTTTTAATAATTATTTACTAATATGTAAAAAGCCGTCCTTGGTATGACGGTAAACTACATCCGCTTCCTGGGTAAGACGATAAACTACATCCGACAGTAAAGCCTCTGATCAGGAGGTTTTGAGGAGCGTAGAACCAGATCTTAATTGCTGGTGTTCCCAGGTCCATTTTGACCCGGGGTGGTAGCACCTGTTAGGGTCCCAGTTATGGGCACATAGTTAACCCCCAAACTGTGTTCAAAATATCATGAAAGTGTAAAAATAGGTTTTAATACCAGAAGTACCTTGTAAAAAATATATAAAAGCTATACAATTTTATTTAAAAAAAATTACCAGCTATATATTTTTATTTTAAAAAAATTGCCAGCTATACATTTTGAAAAAAAAAAAATTACCAGCTAACAAAAAAAAAAATTACATTTCATTATTACATTTCATTTATGTGAAAAATATATTACCAGTGATACATTTTTGAAGGAAAAATATTATCAGAAATAGATTTTTGAAGAAGTCTGGAACCAGAAAAAAACAAACCAAAAAAAACATTGGGGTTTATCGCGCATTAATGGACTATGAAAAGAAAAAGGTAGCCGTTAAGACCCTTTCCATTGGATCCATTATGGTGAAAGTACTAATGTATATTGTATTAACTTGGCTGTCATCATTTTATGAAAATCAACTTATCACAACGCAATTTGGTAGTCGTTCTTTGTAAGGGGTGTAATGAGGGCATATATGTCATTAAACAAATCCAGAAGATTGTATACCACTTCAATAGAAAAATGTATACCTGGTAAGTCAAACTCACAACAGCATATGACGTGATCAATAGAAACTTTCTCGTCTCATCAGTTAGAAACTGTCCACTATGCTCTGACTGCATCAATCTATTAGAGGAAATATATTGGTCCTCAAAATCATGTCTGATGAGGACCCCAATATGGAAACATTTGAATTTAAATTGAACCTTGTATGACAAAGAGGAAATGAGAGCCCCAGTCTATTTAATCTTTTCTTAGACTGTTCTGCGCATTTACAAGCTTGGATGCAAAGGGAGGAGCACTGATCATTTAGGCGTTCGATACCACATCCCAAGCGAATCTACTAATGGAATACAGTGATCCTGCTTCCTTTTCCTAGACCAATGTAGTGATGATGTGTGTGTGTGTGTGGGGGCTGGTGGAGGAGAGGCTAATGATATAGGTATTCATAGGTATTTACTCGTTCCCCCCACTTGAACAAGATGTGACACAAGGTCGGTTTAATGTAGGGACCCGAGCGCGTACAACCGGGTAGGGACAAAAATTCCCCTCAGCCCCCGCAATTGTCGGTTGCGCTGGCCTCGGTGCGAGCACCGATCCCTCCCTCTTGTGCAATGGGAGGGCGCGACCTCGCACAGCTGTTCCCCAAGGCTGGGCACCTCTTCAGTATAATTTTCCTCAGTTGCCCCTCTGTCCTTTGACAGAGAAGGCCCTGAGCGCACTCTGTCCAAGGACAGAGACGCAACTGAGAGATGATAAATAATAGATGGGTTAAGAATGATCTTCGACAAAAAAGCAACATTATCTACCAAGTATTTCGAGAAATACGACTCAAGATAAACCTTTCCAAAACATAAACTGTTATCTTAAATCGGAATGAAAGCAATTGTGGCACCTACTTTGAATCTACAAAAAATACCAGGATGTAGAATGGATCAGTTAAGGAAAATGAACATAGAATAAGCTGTGTTAGAGGAAGTTTCACACAACACCGGATGTCGCTACAAAACCAAAACATTTACCTAAAAACTCGAGTCATATTCTTAAATAGCCTCGTCAGATCGAAACATTCACATGGATAGCATACGTGATGCCAAGCTCGTTTATAAATATCTAAACTGTCGTCTGTATATAGCCACTTTCTCTCTCTCTCTCTCTCTCTCTCTCTCTCTCTCAGATCAGTGGTTAAATTAGCTTCGAGAGAATGAAGTCTGGAGATATTAGCAGGGACCACCCTTCTTCGAATTTCGTGAACTGGCGCTACAAAATCGCGAAAAAGAATTGAACCGAATAAGAGAAACAACATCACTCGAGGACTTCCGGTGACAGCAACAACTAAAATTGATAGAACATGTAACTTGTAGAGAAAATAATGACATTAGTTAAGATGTTGTTGTTCCACGCCATTCAAACAAAAGGTTAGGAAGGAAAGACTCATCAATGCTGCAAAGATTGATAACAATGAACTTGAGAAACTTATTTTCCTGAAAAGTTGTTTTAAAAGAAAGATTTTATAAATTTCAACCGGCAGCAACACTGGCTGCTCGGTCATTAAATGCTGAATCTTTCTGTAGAATAAATAGGCATACACTAGCGTAATTGACAAAGTTCTCAATAGGCAATTACAAAATTCTCATTAAGTGGATTTGACAAGATTCCCAATTAACTATAATAAAAAGAGAAAGAAAAAAGAACAGGGAAAAATAATTGCACACACACACACACACACACACACACACACACACACACACACACACACACACATATATATATATATATATATACATATATATTATAAATTAATTGATTTAAAATATGGTTTCTTCGCTACACATGTTTCAAAAATGGAAGGTAAAAACTTTAAATTTAATTTTGTAATAAATTAAAAACATTAGTTCCATTTCATCCTCATGCGAATTTTGGAGTAACTTATTTTTTTAAAATTTACTGAGTTTTAACTGCAAAGGAAATTCATAATTTATGGTTACCAAGGATACAGAGAAATCCAATCATCCAGATAAGGAGTGGTAGTGTGTTCAGTTTATTAACTTTTGTTGTATCAGTTATTTGTTACGTTCGAAAAAGGGGTTAAGCTTAGGTACTGGTGGGGATGTATTTTTCAACGAGTTCTGACATCCGTTAAATTCATGTCGTCTTTTTTTTTCGACATGAATTTATATATATAAAAAATTTATATATATAAAATATATATATATATATATATATATATATATATATATATATAATTTCACCTCAAATTTCAGGAAACGGTTCCATAAAGGCAGGTAATCTTTAGGAACTTATTCTGCTTATTTTCGGATCATCCAACAACCGGTTCGCTAAGCTTATATAATAAGCTTTATAATTTTAAGAATCCGTTCGCGATATATATATATATATATATATATATATATATATATATATATATATATATATATATATATATATATATATATATATATAATGCAAAAAGTTCACAAAACAAGAAGATCAATCAGATGCAAAATTGATACAGTCAAGTGGTCATAGAGTTCTCACTTCAAGGTAAGAAATGACAAAAAGTTCTTTGGATCCGGAAATGTCATAATTGCCATTTTTCCTGTTCGCAGAGGGTTGCAAATATTGTTATGGTTGTTATAAGGCTTTGCCCTTTTAAAAATTTTCCAGCTTACAATTGGATCTCTGTTATTTTTTCTTTTAAATTCCTCACATGGTCAGCTAGTTTGGTAGAGTCAAACTCTGCATGTTGTTTTTGTTTTTATTTTAATTTTTCACACGTCTATTGTGTATTCTTTAATACTACAGTTTCCGGGACTAATTCAACTCTTACCATTAATCTTTATTAAAGTATAGATATATATAAATATAGACATTGGTTCAACAAGTAGATTTATGCTACAATAAAGGTGAAATAACTTGCTTAATCTAATATGTAGTAATACTAGTAGAATTAACTTCACTACTTTTTAGCTTCTTTGATCGCTTACCTTCTTCAGGTAAATTTTTCATCTGTTAGTTCAGCTTTTAAGGACTGTAACATTATTATTTTTTTAATTTGAATTTAAAAATGCACTTCAAGAGGGCTGAGAAATCACCGATCAAAATGTGACACCACTAATAACAACAAAATGATCATTTCTTTGAAAAAATAAAATTATTTGGTTGGAAGGAAAGTTTTTGGCATTTCTATCAGGTTGTTCGGAAAATAATGTCTGATTTTCGAATCGACTTTTATTCTTGAATTTGGGTATTTAAACGGGGTTTAAAGCAGTCCAAATATGAACCCTGAACATCTGTACATTTCTGCCATCGAGTTACGAGGTTATTTATGTATTTACGATAAAGCTCTGAAGGTTTCGATGCCATGACATTTTTTAATGTCTCTTGGCTTAAAAAAATTGTCAAGATGCTTGAAAAATTGGTCGTCAGTTGTCTAGAGATCGGGTGGGGGGGAAATATGGTGGATGGGACAAAGTTTGGTATCCCAAGTCTGTGATCTTCTGCAGTATCATCTTGTCAACATCATGGTCATGGAGCAGAATTGGACTTTGGTCGATTAACCAGTGCCAGTTGTATTTTGTTTCTTTGAATGTGGATTTCATCCAGATGCTGACACTAAACATCGGCAGCGAGGCTCTAGTTAGATTCCACAAAACCATAATGGATAACGCCAATGGCGGACCACCAGCCAATCACCATAATCTTCAATTGATTTAATTTCGGTTTTTGAAAGTGTTTCGGTGCTTTTGGCATGATCAAGCCATTGAACGATCCATTTCTCATCACGAGTTACTATTCGATCAAGAAATGGATCAGTCGGATTTCGCAGATGCAACATCGAACAGACTTCAAAACATCGAAATTTTTGACTTTCACGGAAATCATGTGGAATTCATTACTCGAGTTTCTTCACTGGTATAGTTAAACTCCTATTATGTGAGACATTTCCTTGACATTTTGACGTAGTTTTTTTTTGTTTTTCGACTTTATTTTCAGATGTCGATTGTCGATTACAGATGGACCTCCTCTGCCACCTTGATCTTCATGACTCTTATCCCCACTGCGGGACTTCAGAAATCTGCAAAGTACTGTCCCATCACAAGTAGATCCTTCATCTTATGCTCTATTAATGTTAGCAGTAGTTTGAGAAACATTATGACCAAGCTTGACCTCATGCAAAAAAAAGTAAACTCATCATGTTCAACATAAAAGGGTATATAATATATATAGTGAAATTCTGTAAAAGCTTAATACAAAATTAACAAAGACAACACATTTATCATGAGGAACGCGTAATGTATTTTTTGTGCAACTATAATAATAATAATATATAAGAAAACAATTAAAAGGTTTATTCTAAAATCGGATATTATTTTCTGAACAGCCTAATACTATTTTCCAGTGTATACGCAGGGTGCGTCACATATTTGTGAACGCAATACTGAAAGAGATTGAGAGAACATTAACGGAGAAGACACTGTAATCACGAGGAATGAGTAATATATTTTATGTACCTATTATAATGATATATTAGAAACGCCTTTAAAATATTCATTCTAAGACAGGACATTATTTTTCCATGCAACCTCATAAATAAATTTAATGTTCTACAAATCAGGAGAAATTTCCTTCCAGTCAGATACTTCGGTTTTTGAGTCGTGGGCCACATCACATTGAAACATTGGTTTCCGTACGATCACCGAAGTTAAGCAACGTCGAATTTGGTCAGTACCTAGATAGGTGACAACTTGGGAATACCAGGTCCTGTACGCTTGGATGTGTGCGAGTGGTGTAATAGATACATGTTCGGAATTGTCAATCGTTGAGCCGAGTTCCAATTTCAATTGGTTTCGTTATATTTACTTACGCGCAAATACGCGTGAGGAAGGCATGAATCCATCTTTACCCCCCAGCTATGGGTTAATTAGTAAGACGTGTATCATTAAATCATTATCATCTCGAAAAAAATTCTTACAATCTAAAAATATATTCTGCCTTTAAATAACCTACAAAGGGCTGATAAGTCGTAGAAAACGAATCAACCAATCATAAAAAAAAAAAAAAATCCAAAGACGTATCTGTAACGCTGCTGGTCCTGACCTGGCATTCCATCTTCAGTCATTTTCCCACCGCAGTTACGTGGCTTCCCTTTGTTCTTTCTAAAAATATTTTCTTGGCAGTTGTTCTAACGAGCACTCCTCTTTGGTACTTCGACCGCATAAATTTAAGCGTATTACTAGATTGGCTGTTAGGGCCCATTGTTTTACTGTTGGATTACCTAAATAGTTCTATTCTTGTTATGGTCCAGGTCCTTGTACCACGGTGATGGTCCCGTGGGCTCGGCCAAAAATATGAACCTGTGGGCTCGGCCAAAAATATGCCCTTTGAACCCGTATAAACGGGTTCAGGGTTGGTTTACCACCCAGAAAGAGACTCCGCCCTTCGGCGTAGACTCGTTCGGGTTCCTCCCCGCCCGAAGGCAAAGAATTCAACCGATCAGCCGGTAAGCCGGTCGTCCGACTTCGGACTGAACGGTATTTAGTCACCCCCCCACGAGGGCATCATGTGACACAATGGCGGTTTAACGTGGGATCTCCGAGCCCGTGGGGTCGGCCAAAAATATGTCCTTTGAACCCCTATAAACGGGTTGAGGGTCGGTTTACCTCCCCGAAAGAGACTTCGCCCTTCGGCGTAGCCTCGTTCGGGTTCCTTCCCGCCCGAAGGCAGAGAGTTCAACCGATCAGCTGGTCAGCCGGTCGTCCGACTTCGGACTGACCGTTATTTAGTCACCCACCCCACGAGGGCATCATGTGACACAAGGCCGGTTTAACGTGGGATCTCCGAGCCCGTGGGCTCGGCCAAAAATATGCCATTTGAATACGTATAAACGGGTTCAGAGTCGGTTTACCTCCCCGAAAGAGACTTCGCCCTTCGGCGTAGCCTCGTTCGGGTTCCTTCCCGCCCGAAGGCAGCCGATCAGCCGATTAGCCGGTCGCCCGACTTTGGGCTGAACGATATTCAGTCATGTGTCATGAGGGCGTCATGTGTTACAAGGCCTTTTTAACGTGGGATCTCCGAGCCCGTGGGCTCGGCCAAAAATATGCCCATTGAACACGTATAAACGGGTTCAGGGTTGGTTTACCTCCCCGAAAGAGACTCCGCCCTTCGTCGTAGCCTCGTTCGGGTTCCTCCCTGCCAGAAGGCAGAGAGTTCAACCGATCAGCCGATCAACGGGTCGCCCGACTTCGGACTGAACGATATTCAGTCACCCTCCCACGAGGTCATCATGTGGCACAAGGTCTTTTTAACGTGGGAACTCCGAGCCCTTGGGCTCGGACAAAAATATGCCCATTGAACCGGTATAAACGTGTTGAGGGTCGGTTTACCTCCCCGAAAGAGACTCCGCCCTTCGGCGTAGCCTCCTTCGGGTTCCTCCCCGCCCGAAGGCAGAGAGTTCAACCGATCAGCCGGTCGCCCGACTTCGGACTGAACTCGCTGCTTCCTCTTGAGGTACAGTATTTATTACATATGGAATCGTCCATTATGTTATTATGGGTAAGGTCCCATAACAATTCTAATAGTTATTTTTCTTGCATTTCTCACCTGCGGAAAATCTCTTCCTGATTCTTGCTTCCCTGCCAATTACAATCTTCAAAAGTTTTAATGCAATGTCAATCGCAATGGTCTGTCTTCCTGAATTCTTTTCTTTTATTGTCCTTCCCACTAAAGTCTTCTCATTCTCTTTCACTCGCAGTAAACACTTAGTAGAATCTTAGTAGAATTATCGCCTTGCCAGGGGTGAAATGGTTCAAACAATAGGGGATTGATGTTTATCTTCTTTCTTATTCCACGTGTCTTGTCTTTTTAGGAAGCAAGGCGATCAAGGCTCACTCTTCATTTTTAATGTTTATCACGAGCCTTGATCAATCTTATTAATGTTGCTTTTTTTTATGGCACGCCTCTGAGTTCTTACACTCTTCATTATTGCAATTAGTTTATCATTAATTATCGTTGTAGCCCTTAGTAGCGTTTGTCCTCGCCAATCCCTGTTCGGCTATTTAAACAACCCCATTAGGTATGTTACTAGCTGCATTCCCTCTGCAAATGTTGCTTTCAATATGTCCTGTGAATGTCAAATTCGCCAAGCCCACCTTTCTCATTATGCCTCGCAGAAATTTCAACTCTCTTTCTGATTCTAATTATGTGTCTTTTTGGTTTCTGTTTTCCTAAAAGCTTCCTCGTTGCTCATATGCCCCGTTCTTGGCATTCTCAGCATACTTCTGTAGAACCTCATTTCTGTTGCATCAAGTCACCTCTTTATCTGTGAGAAAAATTTCCAGCGTTCACTGCTGAATAGGAAGATAGCTATGGAGTACTTTTGATACATGATTGACTGAGTGATTTGTTTTCTATGGCCAATGAACCTTTTTGCTGGTTATTTAAAGCCAGAAAATATTTTTACATTGTAAGAATTTTTTTTTGAGATTATGTTTCATTGATACAAGTCTTACTATAGCTGGTGGAGGAAGAGGTGGATTTATACCTTTCCCAAGGATAATTGTACGTAAGTGAATACAACGAACCCAATGGAAATTGGAACTCGGCTCTCCGATTAACAATTCCAAGCCATTATCCATCATACGACATGCACATCCAGGCTTACCTGATATTCCTAATCGGTCATCCATTTAAGTCCTGACTAGCTCAACGTTGCCTAACTTCGGTGATCGTAGGGAATCCGTGTTTCATCGTGATATGGCCGTAAACCAAATTGTATTACAATTATATTTGCCAGATAATATTAGAATAAACTTTCACGCGACAAGAACGAGTAAAAAGCGTGCAAATGTAAAAGGTGTTCCGATAATTTGGACCGATCTTAAATGTGAATTAAGCTTAAGTGTCTAATGATTTCAGATTTAACAACTTAAGTCTTTGGCAATTTCAACCATGGAAAGATTAACAATCAATCAATGTGTTAAAGTTATAGAAGCCTTTTACGAAATTTCCTAGGTCGCATTATCTCTCGAATCAGCGAAATCAATTGACCACCACGATCGTGAGACTTGATGTCTTTAGATTTCTTCCTTTGGGGTCATCTCAAAAGTAAGGTCTATGCCAACAAGCCAACAATTCAATAGTTGAAGGATGAGATAATAAGGCATATTGGTGAGATCAAGGAACAACGGTGCAGAGACGTCATCAAAAAGTTTGACCATCGAGTGGAGGTGAGCCGCCGAATCTTTGGTGGACATTTGGGCGATATTATTTTTCACACATAATTGCCATATCTTAAACTTGATCCAATAGAGAAATAAATAAATTTTCACCAATAGCAATGATTTATTTACCGCTGACTTTGATCCGTTTTAATGAAACATCCTTCATATATAATCTGTCTTAATTTCAAGTTTTGCTAAGTTTCACATTGAGAAAAACTGTCACTTGAAAAAGAAATCCAGTTCAAAAATCAATTCTCTGGACCAGATTGAGGTTTGTTGATAACATTAGACACCTGTTCAATGAAAACCAGGCAGTCATCTTATGGTGGGAAGTGCCGCTTTCGTCGATCAATCATTTTTAGCGAAAGCCAATAAAGTAAAAAAAAAAAAAATACAAACAAACCAAAAAACAAACACTTATAAACCGAAATAAATCTTCAGCGACTGATTTTGAAGTTTTAAGAAGCTGACCAACGATTTGTCCAGGTTTTAACTTGCTTATCGATTAGAGACGTGACGAACTGAGTACTGACGGGATCATGTCTAAATATCGATCAGCCTTATCGAGCACATCCCTGGCTGTTCAGCAGGGGACGTGATAACGAAATGCAAATGAAACTAACAAAAATTGCAGGAGCCGTGTTTACAAGCCGATTTATTTATTTATTTATTCATTCGCTTATATGAATGTCCATATTTTATTTAACATTTATTTTTTCAGATAAAACATGACTAAAGTCAGTAGAATACGCACACATATAAAGGGTGTTCCAATAACATGGACCGATTTTAAATGTGAATTAAGTTTAAACGTCTAATGATTTTTTTCTTTTTCCTTCAGATTTAACAACTTAAGTCTTTGGAAATTTCAACCATGAAAAGATTAACAATCAGACAACGTGTTAAAGTTATCGAAGCCTCATACAAAAATAAATATATGGCTCAATGATTCCGCTAGCAGATGCTTTTGTGGATGCAGTGGTTTTTCAACAATCTTCCTTGGATTTTCATCAGCCCAAATGCGGCAATTCTGTTTATTAACGAACCCACTAAGATAAAAAATGGGCTCGATCACTAAAGAGAAGTTTTTGCAAAAAATCTTCATCGGCTTGTCTTTGTTCATGCACCCGATTGACGAATGTACGGCGCTCCAAATGGTCAGCAGGTTTCAGTTCTTGTGTCAGTTGAATTTTGTAAGCGTGTAGAGACAAATCTTTTGTCAAAATTCGATGTAACATTCAATTCCTGTGCGCGATGACAAGTCGAGGTGTCTGGATTTACGGCCGCATTCTCGTTCTCTGCAGCAATGTTTTCAGCTGAACGGTGTAAACGAGTACGCAATAGTGTTTTCACATTTGCCACCGACCCAGTTTGTTTGAATATACGAACAATTTTTCCAATTGCAATTCTTTAACACGTTGTTTGATTGTTAATCTTTCCATGGTTGAAATTGGCAAGTTGTCAAACCCGAAGGAAAAAGAAAAAAAAATCGTTAGACGCTTAAACTTAATTCACGTTTAAAATAGGTCCAAGTTATTGGAACACAC